AGGCCACCACCAGATAAAACTGCAGCTCTTCTTGAGGGTCAGAAGATGTGTGATGGTCCCTGAGGTCTGGCAGAGCCTCCTGAAGACTATCAGCAAATACTAGGAGCAGCGTGGCGGTGGCAGAGAGAGGCGGCTGTCCACCATCGCGCACAGCCACCACCAGGCGCTGGCGGGCCGCATCCCTGTCACCCAGGACGCGAGCGGTGCGGACCTCGCCTGAGCGCAGCCCCAGGCTGAAGAGGCCGGGATCGCTGGCCTGCAGCACGTGGTACGACAGCCAGGCATTGTGCCCAGAGTCGGCATCCACCGCCACCACCTTGGTGACCAGGTAACCGGGCTCGGCGGCGCGCGGCACCATGTCGAAGAGCGCCGAGCCGTCGGGCTCCAGCGCGGGGTAGAGCACGCGCGGCGCGTTGTCGTTGCGGTCGCCCACCAACACGCGCAGGCTGGCGTTGGCGCGCAGCGGGGGCGAGCCCTGGTCGCGCGCCTGCACAGTGAGCTGGAAGGAGCGCAGCTGCTCGTGGTCGAAGGCGCGCTGGGCGAACACCACCCCGCTGTGCGCGACACGTAGGACGACAGCGCGCCTGGCTCCAGGTCGCTGGCCAGGATGGAGTAGGACACTTGGCCGTTGGGCCCCAGGTCTGGGTCGGAGGCGCTGACTTGGGCGATGGAGGCTCCGGGAGGGTTGTTCTCAGCCACGTGGACCAAGTAAGAAGCCTGATTGAAAACGGGAGCGTTGTCGTTGACATCTTGGATGTGTAGGGTGATAGTTGTGCTGGAGGAGAGCGGTGGCTTGCCTTTGTCAGTGGCTACGATGGTGACATTGTACTCTGGAGTCTGCTCCCGATCCAGAATCCCATCTGTTACAAGCTTATAGTAATTATTAGCGGATGGTTCAATCCTAAAAGGAACTTTTTCTTTTATGAGACAAATGACCTCCCCATTGTCTTCTGAGTCTTTATCATGGCTTTTGAACAGTGCAACCACGCTTCCAGGTTTAGTGTCCTCTGCTATGGAACTGGACACGGAAGTAAAAACAACGTCTGGGGCATTGTCGTTCTCATCCAGAATTTCTAGTATAATTTCACATTCAGTGGCCATGCCGCCACCATCTTTAGCTTCTATGCTCATGGTATAACTGCTCCTGGTTTCAAAGTCTACAGGGCCTTTAGATTTAATTTTCCCATTTTGATGATCTAGCATAAACTTATTTCCAATATCATCTCCTAATGATTTAAAGGAGTAGGTGATCTCTGCATTGATGCCCTCATCCTTGTCAGTGGCTGTCACCTTTAGCACAGAGGTGCCTGGTGGCATGTTCTCCCTGAGACTGGCTTTGTACACATGTTGGCTGAAGACAGGGGGGTTATCATTGGCATCAGTAACCTTAATTTGAATTTGAGTGGTGCCAGTCAGAACTGGGTCTCCCCCATCTGCTGCGGTGAGGATCAGGAGATGGGAGCTCTGTTGTTCCCTGTCCAGGGGCTTCTCCAACACTAATTCTGGGGCACTCTTGCCTTCAGCCTTGTCCTTCACCATCACAGAGAAATGCTCATTAACGCTGAGCTGGTAACTCTGGAGAGAGTGAGGTCCTACATCAGCATCTATAGCAGATTCCAGGCCAAAATGAGTGCCTGGAGTTGCAAATTCATTGATTTGTAAAACAATGCTATTTTGGGTGAAATGAGGTGGATTATCATTTATATCTTTTATCTCCACATTTACATGAAAAACATTCAGAGGATTGTCTGCTACAATCTCTAAGGGCACCACACACAGGGGAATTTGTGGGCAGAGTAGCTCTCGGTCTATTCTGTCACTCACGAGAATATTTCCGTTCTCAGTGTTCACAGTAAAGTATTGTTTCTCCGCACTAATTCGAAGATTACGAGTCAGTAAATCCCGAACATGCAGCCCCAGGTCCTTCGCGAGGTTCCCTACCACCGAACCCCTAGCCATTTCTTCCGGAATCGAATAGCGGATCTGCTCGGAGAGCCCCGTACAGAACAAAGGCAGCAGAAAGGGAAAGAGTACTTGCCGCCACGGGGTTCTGCTCCTTTGTTTCGCCCTATATTCCATCCTTCCCAAGCGCCGCGGCAGCCTCTGATGCTTCACAAATTGCTCTCTCTACATAGAAAACTCGGTGCTTCCAGTTTCCGAGAATTCTGATCGTAATCAGATTTGCCAAAAAGAAAACCCAACTCCAAATCACCCTCAGCTTTGCTTCTGTGGCTGCGCAGACTTTCATCCTGGTGGATCCTGGGATCCAGCTCTTGCAGCAAATTGGCCAACAGCGGCGCCTGGAGTCGATTTAGAAAATTGCAGCCAGAAACCTTGCAAACCCAGTGGGTTTCAGCATTCCCACACTTATTGGGTTGTTTGGGAACTGGGCAGTTTATGAGTTTTGGATTCCTCTAGTCTCCAGTATATACTACTGAAGGTTCCTTAGAGATGTGATGCAATAGTAGAGCCATTAACCTAGTAATTAGAGGTTAAATTTGTATCTTTTTCTAATCAGAGGAAATGAACCTGTTAGAAGAACCAAGGAAAGTCTTCTTTCTCTCCAGAAAAAGATCATGTGGAAAAACAGTCCCACCACGTGCTATGGGAAATTTTTGACAACCAAGAAATGCACCCAGTATTTGATATGCAGATAATTTTCCTCCTTCAGATGATTGGAGCTTTATAGAGTATATTCAGAATAAAGATGGCGAATGCCATAAAATACTTCCCACGAATAAGAGAGATTTATGAAAAGGATGAATTATTTACATTTACTATAGAATATAAAGGTTTAACCTAGTAAGTCACTATAAGAATGTTCTGATACTCAATGTAAATGCCCCAGCAGAATTTTAGCATTACTTCAAAATAAAAAAATAAATATTCAAATATTTTAAAGGCAACCTTTTCTTATTTGTCAGTTGTGGGGCTTGAACTCTGGGCCTGGGCACTGTCCCTCAGCCCTTCAGCTCAAGGCAAGCACTCTACTGTTTGAGCCACAGCACCACTTTGAGTTTTCTGGTGGTGAAGTGGAGATAACAGTCTCATGGACATTCCTGCCCAGGCTGGCTTTGAAATGCTATCCTCAGATCTCAGCCTCCTGAGTACTTAGGATTACAGGCGTAGTTAGTGGCACCCAGCTCAACTTTTCCTTTTTGTTCTCAGAGTTCTTGGTTACTAGCACCCAACTTGTTTAACTTGTGCTTAAACATAAGGGACAACTTCATATCCCAAAACAATCCAGATCCTTTTTGATAATCTAATTGCAGTTCAAGTACAAGGCTTTAAGCTACTTTTCAGAGTTTGGAATTCCATGACATAAAATCTACCCCTAGATGCTCAAAGTACTCCAGTATTTTTCTTGACTTCAAGACAAGTTTAGGCTTTGTCAGAGATTTTTTTTCTCTCCCATAGTTTATTTTTGCAAAACACTACATCCTTAATTTACAATTGATTATACTAATAGCAATCCTAAGTGAGAAACTTGAAAGAGAATATGAACATGCAAGTAGATGAGCAAAATATCTAGATGTAATGAAATAACTGAGTTGAACTAATTACATAAATTACTTGTGATCAGATACACTAGATAAGACTCTTTTCCACATTTCCACACATATAATTCATAGTCCTTGCTCAGATAACAAGCATATTATTAGATGACTATCTGGGCTTCAGTGACAAGTTAATGAATACAATAATTTTGCCTATTTATATGTAATACAGAATGAGCTTATATAAGAAAAGAAGAATTTTGTATTCCAAGATAGAATGAAAATGAACAAAATATGTGGGTACTAACTAAATAAATCATTTTTGGGAGGATGATAGGATTGCAACCAAGGCCTTGTGCATGCTAAGCACATACTTTACCAGCAGTATAAGGTAGTTTCTTATGAAATCTAAATACTTACGTCATCTCTTATACTTCCAAACTACGTGAATAAATCAGAAAAGTGTAAGCATCATAGCAGATCTGAAAATAATTCTTGAGCTGTACCATATCAAAAATATTTTTATATGTGAAGGTACTATTTTACAAAGCCTTCTGTACAGACACTAAGTAAAAGAATAGAAGGAAATAGGTTCTGTTATTCAATTATTTCTTCAGATAACTTAATGATTTCACTGTAGTAACAGAAAAGTTATCTGGAATGTAGAAAAAGAAGTTCTCCCAAGAAATGCTCATAATTAAAACCCAGTCATTAGGATTGTAGGATGAAGAAATAAAACAAAGTTGAAATAGTTAACAAGATCTGAGTATATCATTGGCCATCAAAAAGTAAAATAATTGTCATGTGTTCAGTAACAAAAACTTTTCATGCATTAAGTATATCTGGGTATTGCTAGATAACGAGGAAGAGCTAGAGCATATGCTATCAAATAAACATAGTTAAAATTGAGCATTAGAAATCACAGTAAATAATTGTATACTATAACAATAAGTCAGTTTTAATAACTGAAATTGAAATAAATAAAAATATTTATGGGTCATTAACTTCAATCGTGACTAGTTTGCTTTGATAGTAAGCTACTACGCTATGTTAAGATCTGAGAATCAAGGTTCAAAGCCAGCCCAGTCACGAGAGCCCATGAAACTCTTATCTCCAATTACCCATCAGAAAAACTGGAAGTGGAGCTATGGTTCAAAGTGATAGAGTGCTAGCTTTGAGCAAAAGAGCTCGGGGACAGTGCCCACCCAGAATTCAAGCCCCATGACTGACCAAAAACGAACACCCCTTCAAAAAAAAAAACTAAAATTCAACTCACTACAAAGCAAGCCAAATAAGTTAAGTTGACCCTTTGAAATGAAAAGAAATGTGCCAAGAATTTAAAAAACAACTTCCACAAGGTCTTTCTGAAAATGATGATAATCTGATGAAAGGTAAAGTATACAAGCTCATATACCTTGTTCTAATTACAAATTGCTCTAACTACATATGAACTAACTATCCCCTCCCCAAACTCAGTTTTCATAAAAACTCAGTACCAAGACATCAACAACTGGGATGCAGAGAACTATATCTCACCTGATTATTGGTTGGGTCGCATTTACCTAAAATGGTAGCTGGATCTTCAGCTATCAAGAGAGGCTCACTTTTCTCACAGCTCTCCTGGCTGATGAGTGTGTCAGCATAGTTGGGTTGTGGGAAGATTAATTGGCTTTTCCGAGAGTCTGAGGTAAGGCAAACCTCGTGAGAATAGGTCTGCAGGAAAGCACGCACCCCATCCACACCCACAAAGTGTGAAGCCTGCACACCTTGTAACCCACTCGCGTCCTGGAGCAGGCGTGATGTATGCCAGCGTCGAAGTCTGAGCACCAGGAGCACCATGACAAAGATGAGGAAGACACAGGAGACTGTGGTGATGGCCACAACTAGGTAGAGTGTGAGGCCTGACTCATCATGGCTGGTGGGAACCTCCATACTGCCCAAGTCGGCCAGGACATCTGGGATGCTGTCAGCCACAGCCACAGTGAGCGTGACAGTGGCTGACAGGGGGGGCTGGCCATGGTCCTGCACAGCCACCACAAGGCTCTGCTTGAGGCTATCTTTTTCCACAAGTGTCCGAGCAGTGCGCACCTCTCCTGTGTGCAGCCCCACAGAAAACAGCCCTGGCTCACTGGCTTTGAGCAGGCGGTAAGAAAGCCAAGCATTCTGTCCTGAGTCTCTGTCCACTGCTACCACCTTGGTCACCAGATAACCAAGTTCTGCAGAGCGCGGTGCCAGCTCTACACCTGTAGAGCCATCTGTGGGGAGGGTGGGGTATAAGATCTCTGGAGTGTTGTCATTCTGGTCCATCACAAACAGAGTCAGTGAGACATTGCTGCTCAATGGTGGGTCCCCACTGTCACGCGCGGTCACTCCCAGCTGTAGGTTTTGGAACTGCTCATAGTCAAAGGATTGCAGAGCATACAGCACTCCTGTGTCTGAATTGATAGATATATAGGATGACAGAGGTATCCCCTGGATCGTGTCCTCTGCCAGAGAGTAGGTGACTTGGGCATTCTCTTTGCTATCCAGGTCCAGGGCAGTCACCGAGAAGATGGAGGCTCCTCTGGGGTTGTTTTCAGGAATGTAAGCAGAGTAAGAGGAGTGCGTGAAAACGGGAGGGTTGTCATTGTCATCTGCCACATTCAGCAAGAGGTGAGCTTCTGTAGACAAGGGTGGACTTCCTTGATCTTTGGCAGTCAGTGTTATATTGTAGCTCTCAATCTGTTCTCGGTCCAGTTCATTGTTTGTTATCAACTTGTAGTAATTTCCATAAGTCTTTTCTAATTTAAAAGGGAGATTGTTAGGAATGAAACAGAACACCTGGCCATTTTCTCCAGAATCTTGATCTTGCACATTTAGAAGAGCAATCACGGTACCAGGAGGCAAATTTTCTAGCACTGAAGTAATAGAAGAGGTGATAGTTATTTCTGGAGCATTGTCATTCACATCCATGATGGTAATCAAAATCTTAGCAGTGGTCAGCAAACCTCCACCATCTTGGCCTTGAACTTCCATCTCATAGAACCTATGTTTTTCAAAATCCAGAGGCCTTCCTAGTAGAACTTCTCCAGTTCGAGAATTCAGCTGGAAGGTTTCAGAAGCTTTGCTTTCCATATCCCCGAATGAATACATCACTTCACCGTTGGTGCCTTCATCTGGATCTGTTGCATTTACCACCAGCACGCGAGCCCCAGAGCTGAGGTTTTCCGGAACACTCACTTGATACACAGACTTCGTAAACTTGGGTACATGATCATTTACATCGAGGACTACAACGCGAACGGGAACTGCGCCCTTGAGAATGGGCTCTCCTCCATCCAAGGCTGTGAGGAGGAGGTGGTGAGACGCCTCTTTCTCCCGATCCAGGCCTCCCTCCAGCACAAGCTCCGGACTCTTGGTCCCATCAGTTCTGCCTCGTACGTGCAAAGAAAAGTAGCTATTTGGGCTGAGCTGGTAGCTCTGGAGCGAGTTCACCCCCACATCTGGATCCCTAGCGTTAGGAAGAGGAAACCGCGATCCAGGAGTTGCATGCTCACTGACTTTTATCTCTACCTCCTCTTCCCGGAAGCTGGGGGCATTATCATTAATATCAATTATTTCCACCTCCACTCCGTAAATCTTCAAGGTGTCCTCCACAAGAATCTCTATGCTTAAAATGCAGGAGGACACCCTCTCACACAGCTCCTCCCGGTCGATCCTACCAGCCGTGACCAAGCTGCCGCCTCGCGGATTCAGAGAGAAGAGCTGCATCTTTCCTTTGGAGACGATGCGGACTCCGCGCTCCGCCAGCTCCTGGGGCTCCAGCCCCAGGTCCTTGGAGATGTTCCCCACGAAAGACCCTTTGTCTGTCTCTTCTCGCACAGAGTATCGGATCTGCCCGGCTCCAAACTCCCGCAGTGTCCCCAGGAAAATGCACAGGAAAACCAGCCCTCTGCGGTTCAAGCTCTGTGGCAGATTCGCCATGGCAGGGTCGGAGCGGATATTCAGTGCTGTCTCGAGCCCGTTTGTTTTAAGAGTCTGTGTCCACGAGATCCTAGGTGGTTCGCATCAAAAATATATTGGGAAGCGAAGGAAAGTGCTTTATTTCCCAGCATCCGGATGTGTGAGTATCCATCTCATTCTGTTTTGTGTGGTAGAGGTTGGGGAGAGGGACGCAATAGCTCGCTGCCTTGAATTCCCTTATTGGTGAACAGCGTCGCCTAGAGTCCAGTTTTATTGTTGCAACCACTTAGAAAAATGGACTCGCTGATTCCAGAGGAAATTACTAAACTTACCTCTTCGTGAACCCTACATATTCGTGAAGCTAAAAATCGCAAATAATAGTAATGCAATTAACATGATCTTGAAAGCTTACCAAGACATCCTTATGATATGAGTGCTAAAAGATTTTGCTTAATTATATAAAAGGTTAGAAAATATTATTGGAACTGAAAACTTTCAAGTTGATAGTAATTTTTCTGAGTAAAGGGAGTTTGGCATTTGTGGATGTGACATAATTATCAATTATCAGGTACCATGCAGGACTATAATTCTTACCAGAAATAAAAATGAAATGTTTGATAAAATCTGAATGGCATTAGGATTGTAAAAACATCACGATAAAACTATAATTGCATGTTGTATCCTATCCCAAAAAGTATTTTAATGAAAGTCTCTCCTGATAGTTCATATTCATGTGTTTATATGTCCTGTGTATATGGTCCTGGAGGTCCCAGGATCTCAAGCATGCTAACACAAACTTTACCACTGAGCCATACCCTCAACCTTCAAAATTTTTACCTTATCATGTCTTTAACAAGAGGATTGATTAATAACTGAGTGTGTTGCTCTGGGATAGAATGCTGGGCTTCGGGCTGGGAAGGTGGCTCAGTGGTAGAGCACTTGCCTTGCATGCCTGAGGCCCTGTGTTCGATTCCTCAGCACCACATAAGCAAAAAGAAAAACAAGCCGGAAGTGGCACTGTGGCTCAAGTGGTAGAGCGCTAGCCTTGAGCTGAAGAGCTGAGGGACAGTGCCCAGACCCACAGTTCAGGCCCCATGACTGGACCCTCCCCACCCCAAAAGAATGCTGGGCTTCTTGCATGGAAGGCAAGCACTCTGAAACAAAACTTAAGTTTTAGGAGTATAACATATAAGTTTGATATATTTACCTTAGAATTTTTTTTGGGATGGGGTCCGGTCGTGGGTCCTGAACTTTGGGCCAGGATGCTGTCCCTCAGCAATTCAGCTAAAGGCTAGCGCTCTACCACTTGAGCCACAGTGCCACTTCCGGCTTTTTTTCCTGCTTATGTGATGCTGAGGAATCGAACCTAGGGTCTCATGCATGCAAGGCAAGCTCTCTACCACTGAGCCACCTTCCCAGCCCTAGAATTTTTTTTAAATCAAAGGACTGCTTGAACTCTTGAAGTAATGGTGCCGTAGAAGAACACGTTGCATATTGGCTTATAAACAAGCATTAATTAATTACCTGGTTAAAAGTCGTCTTGTCTGCTTCAACACTTGGAGTTAAAATGCTAGCCAAATGCGCAGAAGAGCTATCTTTGTTGAGAATATCCTGTGTGGCTTGACAATCATCAAGGGATGAAACAAAATTAAATTCGGCATTAGTTTGATTTCCAGGCACACACAAATTATATGCGTAGGGTAATGTTCCTTCACAGTAGTTGGGAGGAATCACCGGTCCAGACTTTGAGCTGAGAACAGAGCCAAAGCAGCCTTCCATGGCAGAGTTGGAAGAGTGTCGCAAGCGCAGAGCAATGGCCAGGATGACAGCCAGGAGGAAGAGCACTGAGATCAAGGCCAGGGCACTAACCAAGTAAAACTGCAGCTCTGCCTGAGGGTCAGAGGGGTCAGGATGATCAGTGAAATCTGGTAGCACCTCTTGTAGGCTGTCAGCAAAGACTAGCAGCAGCGTGGCGGTAGCAGAGAGGGGCGGTTGTCCACCATCGCGCACAGCCACCACCAGGCGATGGCGAGTCGCATCCCTGTCACCCAAGGCACGCGCCAAGCGCACCTCGCCGGTGCGCAGCCCCAGGCTGAAGAGGCCGGGATCGCTGGCCTGCAGCACGTGGTACGACAGCCAGGCATTGTGTCCAGAGTCGGCGTCCACCGCCACCACCTTGGTGACCAGGTAACCGGGCTCGGCGGCGCGCGGCACCATGTCGAAGAGCGC